TTGGACCTGAGCTATGAATAAGCATGTTCGTTAATAATTTCGTCCCTTCATTCAACCATTATTTTATTCTCTCATTTATATACTCACCTATTTTTGTTATTTATTTATTCATTTATTATTTTTTCTGTTGTTTATTTACTAACGAATCACGTGTACTATAGGCGTGAGCAGTGTGAATGAAGAGAAGGTAGCAACTGTAATTATGACTCCCATTTTGCCATGATTAAAAAAGAATAAACCCGATATATTTTACTAGTAAATAAATAAATCATCCAGGGAGAATGAAATTGTAACTTTAATAATACGATGAACGAATACATTTGTTTTTGTGCAAAACGATTCAATGGGTCGCTAGATGGCTTGATAATCTCACTCGCAAATCTCGTGTTCCCCAAATTGTGAAGTTAAAACGGACAAAATAATGGTTTAAACATATTTACGGAAATTAAAAAAATATTTTACGGAAGACAATTCCCCCCTTCTCATCTGCGCACCCCTATGCAATGAACCATTCATTTATTCAAATAAGCTATGTAAACGAACCTCGTTCAGGTCAACTGATGTTAAATAAAATAAAATGAAATGAAATAAAATAAAATGTAAAAAAAGACGTTTTCTCGAAATCCCCGTGGAGACGCCTGTAGAAGACATCGCTTCTGCGCCCATGCGAGGCCACAGAGCCTGAGCCCAAAAGCGGTTTCTCCATTTCCCGACGCAGCTCCGGATTTATCGTGCATGCTATTCCACAGAATTCACTCCGCGCTCTGGTTGACGAGATGAAGAACGTTCTCCTCCTCCTCAGCATGACGTTTGCTAAAACGGAAAGGATTACGTTTTGTTTTCTTGCTTTATTGAGTGAACAGACTCTTTCGAGATGTCGATATCTCGAGAGACACGGAACATGAAACTAACTGGCTCTCGAGAATTGAAACGTATCGTATTATTTTAAAAAGAAAAAGCAATGAAATCATTCGTTTACTAAGAATACGTCGAGTTGTACAACAGTAAAGACTTAAAATGACTGAGTATTACAATATAACATTTCAATTCTCTTTTGAAACCCGACTTGCTGTTGAATGTTTCTTTTCATTTATTTTATATTCATTTAATATAAAAGAAAAACGGAGAAAATTGTTTGTGAAGTTCAGGACAGAGAAATTCTTTGTCTTCAGTACTAAGTGTTTCAACTAGACATATTAACAAGAATTATTTTTTGGGTGAAATTGTTTCTCAAATGTTTTCTTAACACATTTCTATTAATAAAAAACTTCGGTTCTAATCACCAGTTCGGAACTAAACATAGCCATAATTTTTACTAATTCCAAATCAACTTTAGATGCACTAAAGAACCAAGGAAGCAAAAATTAAAGAATACAAATAATACTACAACATTTGATGGAAAGTAATATCAAAAGAGTCTTGGCATGGGTCCCGGCTTATCAAGAGATATGAGGAAATAAAAAAAGCAGACTCAGCAGCAAAAAAACCCATTTCCCAAGGAATCGATTGTACAAAAGCACCAATTACTGTAGAAGACCAAAAAAGGGCTATAAACCAATGCATCTGTCAAAAATAGAACATAATCTGGGAAAACTAAACGTCAAAACTACACTTAGTCCGTAACAGTGTGTGTAAGCATCAACCATACACCACCATATATCACTCCAACTTGAAACACTTATTTCATGTCAAAAACACCAGTGAACAGATGCCCTAAATTTGGAACTGCAATCCCTATTTTCCAGGTATTAATAGAGTGTAATGGTTACCAACATGAAAGAACTGGCTTGCCTGAGAACATCAAGAACTGTCTCGACAGCATTGACAGTGTGCACGGTGTTATGAACTTTTTAAAACGAATTGGTGTACTAAAATCTATATAAGAAATAGCTGTAAATCAATTTTTGAAGTTTGTAACTGTAAAATGTAACTGACGTCGCCAATGACCCAGCAGTCGATGCGACTATAAATAAATGAAGAAAAAACATCTGTGCTACGACAAACCTCATGAAATGTTTCATTCTTACATAGCTTTCACTTGTTTTCCCCGAACAATTGGCACCAATCTCCGATTAAAATTTACGCACACTACTTGTTGCGTTTTAGGAATTATACTCGTAGTCCGTGTTGTATGGAACTGAAGGTAATCACTGAAAATCCATCAATCATCAATCACCTTCATCAATCTTTCTTTCTTTCTTTCTTCCTTTCTTTGCGTTGCGATGTATTGACTTGTCTGCTTCGAGAGACGCTGATACATTATGTAGATTCTTTTCATGGTGCTCCTAACGTGATTTTTTTTCCTCATTCATATACAATCGAATTCTAAACGGTCTGTACTGAAGAAAAATACAATCTTCTTGCAACCAATAAAATGTATTTGTATAACAGAATAACTGTTGTAAGATTTGGATATTTCATTAAAGAAATCATTATTATATTAATCGATTTTATAGTTAATATTTGCACCTTTCGTCTTCGACGGCTTGTCCAATCTAAATTAAAATAAACTCTGTGGTTTCTGCAAGTATGTTATACAATAAATGAAAATATCGAAACCAAATATTTTTGGTGTTTGGAAAAGATTAATTAATGTGTGAGAATAGAATTTTGGAATTATAATAATTTATAATAAAATATAATAAATTATATATAATAAATAACAAATATAATAATAATATTAAATAAATTAAAATAATTAAATATAATTAAAACAAATATAATAAATTTTATATATTATAATAAATTATAATTTCATTGTAGACTTAGATAAATTTTCTTCATGCGGATTGTTAAATGTATTGTCACAGTGTTAACACAGTAGGTTTGGCGTTATTATCAGCATATTCATCACCATGGATTGAATTAAATGCCTTTTCTGAAGTAAGATGATATTAACGTAGAATTTTAACAAATGTATCTCTTATGTTTAGATGTGGGAAACTCTAAATGTTTGATATATTAAACATCACCATAAAAAGGCAATATTATCTTCATTGAGATAAAAGTATGAAAATTCTGGTAATAAAGAATTTTATCTATAAGTGACAAGAGTACGCGGGCAATCTTCATAAAAATTTATACAAAACTTATATTAACGTGCTGATTTAATATCCAGTTCAATTTTATTCCATCACGTAACATTTTTTTTTTCACAATACAATACATTGTTTTTAGCTATTCGAATTTTTTCTTATGAAGGTATTGAGGATAACTGAGAAAATAAAACAAAAATCTGGAAAATATTGCTTATAGTTTTTTGCTATGTATTTTCCTGGTCTGTGTGAAGCTGTGACTATTGTTCTTTCGCCTAATGTCTGGAGTGTCTCTCGGTGTAGGATCCAGGAGTAATCCCCACTAATGTTTACGTTTCACGATCCCTGATATCTACTTTCCGTCTCCTAAATATCTTTGGGAAAGCGTTCCTCCTGCTACTCGCTCAAGGTACCAAACTTGTTAAGGAAAGGAACCCAATATCAGGAGGAAGGAAACATTAAATAATGTTATATAACATAATATAAATAATCGGTGTTATGAAGATCGCTAAACACGAATCTGATGTCAGATTTTCGAAATTCAGAATGGTTGTGAGATTTTATTTGAAACAATTGAATTTGCAAAGAAATTGTGGACAGAAATTTAAATTTAGATATATCAATTTGTATGTCAAGTTGTATTGTCCATATTTTTATATTCAATTCTAACTTCAGATAATATACTTTTAATTGAGCTTCCTCGATAAGTACATAACATGCATAAAAAGAGGTTTGTTCTGTTTTAGTTTTATTTGTTTACCGTATGCAGTGACATTACAAAAGTGTTTAGCAATGAAACAGTGTCGACATTTTATGTTATTTACAGATATATCTATAGGTATTTACGCGGGCCTTCCAGTATATACAGAAAGTGGAACAACAAAATTCTAATGAAGAATTTTGAAAAACTATCCAATTACAAACCATATTTATTGAAACATTGATTACTATTGTGATTTTTAATTTATAAGATGTTCTCATTATTTACAGTTTGGTAAATGAATGATAAAGCACTTTAACGTTCAAGGTTCGAATTCGTATCGCCTATGGACAGATCTCAAAGAATATTTCATCTTACGTTTTTGCACCTGAATTTCTTTCTAAGAGTATTTACAGTACATTAAAATTTCCCGTAAATTATTAATGATCTCTTCTCTGTTTATGTGTTTTGCACCAGTTTAAAGTGGCAAAATAATATATTATTTTTGATACTCAAGATGAGTAACATATCTCAAAGAAATGTTATTGTGCTGACAATTTTATTCTGATCCGGCACGGCGACGAACTGTAGAATGGCCTAGACTGTATATACAAAATGTAAAATAAGACTATTTACTAACTCAGTTCCTCACTAACTCAAAAATCACGATTTTGTTGATGAGTAATTTTTCTTGTCCACCGACGAAACTCTGTGCATAAAGGAATGTAAAATGTGTTAGATGAAATAGGTTCTGTGAAATAACAACAAAAATACTCTGATCAATTTGCTTTATTCGGTAATTTTGTGAGATGAGCATGTGGTGCATTTGTGGTGACTCGCTGATTAATTTTACAGCCGAAATTTAAGTGGACGGGAAAGATTGGAGAAACATATCGACAGCATTGATTAATGATGGTTTACAATTTAACAGCATAATACACACACCTCAGATGCCTTGACGTTCGTAAACAACGCGTTTGTATATTTCCATGAGGCTCTTCATCACTGGAACGAACGCATCGCATCCGAGGCGGTGGTGGTCGCCGCTCCCCCTTAGCGGCCGTGCCCCTGAGCAGGTCGAGTGGCGTTGGGGCGGCCATAACGGCGGGCTAGCAGCACCGCGGGGTGGGTGTTGGGGTCGAACTTGTGGCGGTTGCGGCTTTTGGGCTTCTGCGCTTCGGAGGCGTTGCGCGCTGGAGGAACGCTCTCCGCGGCGACCATCATGAAACCGCCTCTTCGCTCTCCAGGGCGAGTGGAGGCGCTTCGGTCACTTTCTCGCTGGGGCGAAGCAACCGAAGCATTCGGGGTGTCAGGCGAAGTGTTCTTGTCCAGCGGGAAGTTAATCAACGGAGGTAGTTCACTTGCATTCAGGCCTGTCGAGTTGAACTCGGTGCCGGCAGCACATACTAAGACTTTGAATTCGTCGGAGAGGACGTTCGGCTGCTCCACTTCGCGAACAGGATAGATCGATGACGTGTTCGGATTTGAAAGTTGTACGTCGTAGCTCCCGTTGATACTTGCGGAATGGATAACCTCATTGGCGTTGAACTTAGCAACGCGCAACCTACTCGTAGCCGGGACCTGGAATTCGCACTGCGGAGTGCTCCAGCCCATCATATCTGAGATGTACGGCGAATTGTCGGCAAGGAAATCTCGCCCAAAGCTTGTGGCAATCAGAATGCACACCACGACGAGCTTTATGGTGATGAAGCGCGACAATCGACTGAGTTCGCGCAAAGAGCTATTGCGGCTCTCCTCCCAGACGTCCAACTCCTCTTCGGTTTCCTCCTCAGTTTCGTCATCCGTGTCATCTGGTTGGTCGCTCATTAGCGCGTCCATAGGGTCGAATATAGGGTCGAACCAGGCCCTCCGATTTTCCGCGGCGTCTTGTTGCCTTCGGTCTCTCGCAGAACTCATTCTGGACCCGGGGTGGCTTTCTAGGGATGGAATCTGAGTGCTGTAGGAATCCAGTTGTTGATGGGTATGTTGTATGGCTTCAGTTCATAGAGCTGAGGCATATGCGTATGTTCCTGGAAAACGAGCAGCAAATTTAATAAAAAAACCACACACTAAAATCCAAAATATATATACATGAGATCCCAGAAACAATGACTTTTTGTACCTAACTAATTTCCTTAATTATTATCAATACATTGTAGCTCAGATTCTAAATGTCAAAAACAGACACATTGACATAAAATAAGCTGTAAATTATTTTCATAAAATAACGCTGGTTAGTAACGAAAAATAAGCAATAATAGCCTAAACGTATAAATTCTATTTAATATACGATACTTAAAAACATAAAACGAATGGACGTTATATACAAAAATAGAACAGAATGACATGAAACGAGCACATTGTATGATTTGAAACGTATTTTGTTTAAAACTATTATAGTGGCTATATATAAGAATGTACGAATGATTGTAAAATTAATTGTTCCTGTAACTATTCTTGTTTAGTTGTCAGTAACTTGTAGAGTACTACAGTTGTGTATAAAATTAATGATTATTAATTAAAAAATACAATAAATATGAATTAAAATAAAAAATAAAACTTTTAAATTTAAAGACCATCTTCTATGTTTTAAAATTATTTTTTTAGAAATTATTTAAAACCCATTTTAAATTGCATCCTTTAATTCAGTTAACGTGAAATCGAATAGATGATTTCACTTTGCTTAATAAGATTCGAGAATACAAAGTAATGCGTGTAAAAACCCAGTAGTTTTGATGAATATAAAAATATTATATTTATTTATTATAGTTTTTCTATCTATTTTCATTTTCCTGCTGGCGGTATCAACAAATCTAAACCGCAAAATGCGTATCCCATACGAATTTAGCAGTCATGTTGCTTCTAACCCATTGTTTTATCGCCGCACTGATAACTTAAAGTGATGTCTGCTAAGTTTTCTTTCGCTTTAGTATAAAGTATTAATTTTATTTACGCCTAAAATACGCATCGTGTATCGTTGGTACATTGAAGTAGAACGTGAATACACTAAATTCAATGGCAGAAAGCCGTTTTCGTTTAAGAATTTGAAGTTTTCACGCTTTGTTTGTTTAAGAATTTTTCAAATGGTAGTTCAAGTGTAACACATAAACTGTCATGTTATAATATTACATAGCTATAAACGAGGGTCAGGGTTAATCACGGTTAGAAGAATTTTGACTTATTATAAGAATAATATTGGGCAAGATTTTCTACAAATTCTATGTAGTTCATTGTCCTTTCCACTCTGAAAGGCCAATTAGAATCAAATTTGAAAATCCTTCCAGCTACATATATTATTTAGAAATTACAACAAAGAAAAAAATATAACAATTGAAAATGAGTTCTTTAATTGAAACAAAACCAAATAATAAAGTTAAAAAAGATAACCTTGTGTTAAGAAAAAAATATTTTGTGTATTATAGTTAAATTTTAACAAAATTAGCTTTTAAGATTAAAAAATTTGAATGGAAAATAACTCAATATAAATAAAAATATGGATATAGGTAGAATTAGGTTCACTATCTTTGTTGTAAAACACATTAAATCAAAACAACAACCTATGTATTACAGTTTGGAAAATCAAATACAAAACATTTATTATAATGCATCTCTCAAAAACAATTATCACCCGATAAAAATAAAGCCAAGGAAATGAGTCTTCCTGTCATAAATGAACTAACTTTTAAAAGATAGAAACCCTCACTTTGAAAACACACAGACTCTTCCCTTCGCACTAAAAAGTTAAAGAATTAAAAAAACTTCACTGGACAGTAATTAGATAAATTCTGTGATAATGGCTCCCCGGATATTATGGCTTACCTAAAGTACACAAATAATGCTATCTCTTAAGAATTGTAGAATTACTCATATTATTTTTAAAAATTGTCTGTTTCATAGAGAACAACACTAAAAATGAACAATATTCATTAATAAAATTCTATTTGAACTCATCCGCTCATGTGAAATACTTTTAAATTAATAGAAAATATTAAGAATAATAAGATTTTTTTGTGGTGAAGAAACCTATTAAAATAAAGACTATTAAATTAATTAATTTTAACAATTATTTTATTGGCAACTATGCATTAAACTCCCAACATTTCATGATACAATGTGGTCACATCATCAGGTATTCTGTAATACTATAAGTATTAACAATTAAAAATGCTTTTTGGTAGACTTTTAAATATAAAGAAGAACACAATCCAAGCAAGATTTAAAACTAAAATTAAACAATATCCCCAGAAAAAAAAGAACCGTATTATTACAACAATCTCAAATGTTTTAAAATATTTACACACAAGTCTAAATATTTTGATTTGATATTTTGATAAATATAATTAATATATATAATTAATATATAATATTAATAATAAAGTTTAAAATAAATATTTTCATAAATGTACACACTGTGATTTAGTTGTAATTATACATATCTTGTTTTTTCTTTGGATATTTAATTTAATTTAGATTTTAAATCATGCATTTTTTATTGTTATTTCATATTTAAATTTTTATCATCAAATGAACATTTTTAATTGATAAAACTTAATGTATTAAAGAACACCTGATGATGTGACCATATTGTGTCATGAAATGTGACTTTTGAGTGTAGAAGACAGTAAAATAATTTATTAATCAATTAGTATGTTCTGTACAATTATTGGCAGTCAGGAAATAAAAACTAAACAATCATTTAAATGTTAATTGACATGTATTAATACACAATAAATAAATTGCAATGTTTTGAAAGTAATTGTTCTTTCATTATCATGTTTGAAAACATCAGGGAGAATCATGGTAGAGGAGGAAGTTACATTATATTTGTTGACATTAAGAAATCAACACCAACAGCGGATGAAACTATTTTTGAAGTTAATTATGAATGATATCACCATTTAGTCACACTACACAATTAAGATTGCCAGTATAGATTAGCAACATGAGTGTCATTATCCTTTATATATCAACTACTTTTAATGTATCTTCCTCCTTCAATCAAGAGTATACCCTGACTTTCTCAAGCGTGTTAATGAAAGAACAATTACTTTCAAAATGTTGCAATTTGTTCTTGTGTATTAATAAATGTCACTCAATTTTTAAACGTTTGTTTTGTTTTAATTTCCTGGCAGTGTACAATTGTACAGAACATTCTAATTAATAAATCATTAAAAAAACAACAACAGATACTCATGAGGTCATTATTATAACAATAAAATAATTGTTAAAACTAATTGATTTTTCTGTGTATAATGTAAGAAGATACCACTGCACATAAAAGTATACAATATATAGACAATACTTTTTGGTTTCTCTTTAATTATTATGAATATAAAGATTGATGACAATTTTCCTATTATCTCTCTATATTACATGTTTTTTTACTAGCATACCCTATATCAAGTTCTGACTAGTATTAAAAAAAGATGAAATTGTATTAAACCCAGAACTACCTACAGTAAATTTGTACATGCCATTACCTTACTCGTAAACACAATAGCTGCTTTTCAAGAAATATTCTACAAATAAACATTGGGTGGCTCTTTGTGAAGTCCATCCACTTTTCTTCATTTTATATGAAATAATTAGGAAGGTTTAAAAAACCTTGTTTGCAGTACATACACTTTAAACATTTTAGATTTCTTGATAACACTTTCACCTTCTAAGATTAAATTAATTTCACAGGAACTTTAAATGTACCTATTCTTTTGCACAAAATAATATCTCGGTTGATATTAATTTAATTAATTTTAATTAATAAAGGAAAGCATTTCAAGCAGATATTTAAACTTTATTTAATCACCCTAGTAAGCATAAAATTTATGTCAATAATTTAGTTGATGGAGCCATGCCAGATGTATATGAAGTTCCATTAACTTAATAACTGGAATGTATTCAAAGATAATTTGTATGATAATTATTATCTATAAAGTTGTTCAGCAATATTTAAATGTTTTAAATAGAGAACAACACAATTACTCAAATCTGCCAGATGAAACCTCATTTGAATTATATTTTAACCACCCAATAGTTTTGCCATATTCATGGATTGTCAGATAATAAACTTTCCTAGTTAAAAAGTTAAATGCCAGGGTTACATACAGGGCGTCTAACAAATTAAATTATGCTATAAATGTAGGATATACCAATCCCCCAAAAGGTAATAATAACACGCATCGGATATGTCAAATTAATTGCAAAAATTTTAATAATACAAAATGTCAAATAAAAATGTTTACTAATATTAAATAACACTAATGAATTTAAGAACCTGTTGTCCTTTTGTTTCTAAACAGATAACTTGTAACCATACTATGGATTTGCAAAAAGTTAGGAAATTAATCAATATAACAAAAAGAATATTGTACCAGAACGTTTACATAAAAAATTCACTTTCATCAGATCATAATGACCCAGAAAGACAATGAAAAATTAATGAACAATAATTAACATATATAATTATCAGATTACACCTTTGATTTACATCTTGTCTTTGATTCACCTTGTACTAATTTATATTTATGTCATTTTGGTTTATACCAATGTAGAATAAAACACATAATTGTGGACAAAACACACATTTGTATGAAATATGACTTTTACTTTCGTTGTTCATTACATGTAATGTGAATTTTAATTTATTTTTCTCTGAGGTAAAAATGCAAACTCTTTTCCGCAAGACTTTGTTGCGAATAGACAACTTATAATTTGAACATAAAACTGAATCTGAACGACACATTTTATTCATGGGAGACATAACTCACTACACAAACACGCATTAAAATTCAAACCTGTGAATTAATTTCTTGAATACAGATCGTTTATGTTCTACACAACTAAGCACTTTACTAAAGACCTACACAATAGTTCTTGGGAAGCGCATAGGAACCATACGTATCAATCTGCATAATACATTTGAAAATTTACGTCTGGATTGAGAAAATCTTACAGGTCCGCTTTTAGCCTTTCAATTCTCCAATATGAGCGAGTGCCATTGAATGAAGCTGAGGGATTTGAATATTTAATACAC